AACCCTAAGAAGAATAATTGCCATATAACTATTGTTTATTGTTAGGTCATGTTATCTAACAAATAAAATCTTATTGTAAAGTGTTTTTAATACTACAGTTTCCATCTATTTGATATACACTTAATATATGTAATCTTATCTAAATTTCTTATAAAAGCTGAGGTTTGTTATTTGCTGAAAAGTTATATTTTAGCTGGTGTCAATGATCTAATGTTGCATTTGGTCAGACTCAGCCCATTGCTTTTCTTAAGTATATTATATTTTGCTTTTACAGCTGCAGACTGAGGAAGATCCTGAAACACACCAGCAAACCCTAAAACAGACAACAGTTTACAGATGTTTTTCAGCGGCAGCAGAACTATGACGAAACTTTTGGGTGAAACTTGTTTACTTTTTTCTTACTTTTATTACTTGTGGGAAAACTTCAAACACTTTTAAATAAGTATAAAGAATGGCATTGGTTTTGTACATTTAATTTTTGTTTAACGTTATTAATAAAAATGTTGTTCAATTAGCATGTTTTTGTGTTTTGCTTTGGTACCGAAATTGGTACCGAGAACCGTGGATTTTCATTGGTATCGGTACCGAATACTGAAATTTTGGTACCGTGACAACACTATATTACACAATGATTTAATCCACCTGACCACCTTTAACCTTTAATTTTTTGACAATTTATTGGTATCAGAAATCAGATAATTAAAATGAGTCCTATTTTGATTCAATTTAAATCTCAAATTTTTCTAAAATTACTTACTTTGAATGTTACACTAAATAAAGTAACTAATTTTATTAGAAATGTAATCCTATATTTGACCCTGGAGCACAAAACCAGTCATAAGTAGCACAGGTATATTTGTAGAAATAGCCAACAATACATTGTATGGGACAAAAATCATAGATTTTTCTTTTATGCCAAAAATCATTAGGATATTAAATAAAGATCATGTTCCATGAAGATATTTTGTAAATTTCCTACCATAAATATATCAAAACTTCATTTTTGATTAGTAATATGGCTTTGCTAGGGACTTAATTTGGACAACTTTAGGCAATTTTCTCAATATTTCGATTTTTTTGCAACCTCAGATTCCAGATTTTCAAATAGTTGTATCTCAGCCAAATATTGTCCTATCCTAACAATCCTACGGAGCCCCTAAAGGGACATGGTGGTGGAAAAAATTTAGGGTGAGTGGAAAAAATTCGGGGTGGGAGGAAAAAATATTTTTCAAATGTTTTGCATCCTATCGCAAAACTTTTGCGTTCCTCAAGAAACTTTGCATTCCCTCGCAAAACCAGTTGAGTTCAGACAAACTCTTTCTGTTTACTTTACAGCTTGCAGTGGTTCATAAAGCTCTGTATGTTCACAATGGAGCGGCTCCCAAAACGTTTGCATTCTCTCGCAAAGATATTTGCGTCCCCTTGCAAAACTTTTGCGTTCTCTCACAAAACCAGTTGAGTTCTGACAAACTCTTCCTGTATACAGCTTGCAGTGGTTCATACAGCTCCGTATGTTTACAATGAAGCGGTTCATAGAGTTTTATTTTGAACTTGGACTCAAGTATAAAGAAATACAGTCAGTGCATAGTTCAAGGCATGGTTTTGGGACATTCTAAAACGCTTAATGTGGCTTAATGTTTTAAAACAGTGACATTGGAGGACCAAATTCGATAATAATATATACTGATAAAACTATTAGGCTAATATTAACAACCTTATTAATAATATTACTATTAATAAAGCAGAATAGCCCAGAATATGAATGCAACACCCTGCACGTTAAGCTTTTTCTCCTCCATAGAAAACACTTAAGATAGGCTAAAGAACGAAGACGGTGATTTAAAAATACCAAATCTGTTTACAGTTTATATTACGCAGAGAAAAGCAGGTGAGCCCAGAACGGAACGTGCAGTTTCACGTGTTTTCTCCCCCGCAGACAAAAAATTATTTAAAAAAAAACTTAAAGAAGGTTGCTTTTCTGTGCATAGTGTATATTTTTTTATAAAATATAAAACTTGGGCTTTTTACCATTGTTTTTTTATATTAAGTCACGTTAAGCGCGCTATGGGGGAGAAAACATTAATTGTTAACGTTAATTGCTTCTGTTAATTGTATAATAAATAAAAAGAAAACAAAGATAGAATACAAAAAGATTAGAAAAGCTAGTGTTAGTATTTTTTTTTTAAAGAAAACAAGCAGTTAGTAAATTAATAGAGTAGAGTGCAAGTCTAAAAAGGACAAGTTTTTTTTAGGAATAGAATTAGAGTAGAGAGTGCTAAAGTAGCCAGCAATTATGCCAATTTGCCTTTAATTGACTCCCTAACGAGCATGTTTAGTCTGAATCAATTTCTTGTGAATATCAATACCACGTGATGGTTGCTCCCTGTGAAAGCGCATTCAATACATCCAAAGGCTTGACCTTTTGTGAGCACTCGAAGCTCTTCTGGAAGAATCAAAGAATCAATCATCTATTGGGGCTTTACAATAACATCTTGCACAAAATTAACTAATAAAGACATATTGAAAGCTTTTCAGATGAAGAGACAGGAAAACGTTTTTGAACGCACAAACCAGTCAGGTTTAGTCCTTTGTGTAGGTGCTGTTAGGAAATGACATAGCAATGTGATAAATGAAAAGCTTTCTCAAGGTATAACAAGACTAGGAGAAAAGATCATGTCAGGCTACCATGAAGGACTGAAATCTATCTAATGGGTGCCCTCAGGTGGATGTATTGCATAAATACAGCATAAATCCTGCGCAAATGGAGATTAGGAATATGAAGACATTTTCCCAAGGATTAATACGCTTGAAACAACATCGTTATTACTGATTACAATAAAAGTTATTTGTCAGTGATGTTTAGGATCTGTTGCTCACGCTTTGATTTTTAAAATTTGATCTTTACATCCTTCCCTTTCTTTGAACAAAAGAAATGTTTGAAAATGGTGGATTCATTATTTTTCTTACAACAATAAAACTGTACAATATTATATTAAATACAGAACTTTTATTAATCTAAATAAAATGGGTGACATACGGAGCTCTGCACACGACAAAGTTAATTATTATTTTTGACGAAAAACAACAATAAAATAAACAAGGACAAACTAGGGCTGTGCAATTAATCGCATGCGATTGTCAAACGCATCTCGTCAGTAAAGCAGGTTCCGTGATTAGTAGTAAATCGCCCCATCACCTGTTTTCAGATGGAGCGGCATTTAATACACAGAGCCATAGTTCACTGACAAGCTAGGCAATATCGCGTTCATAATAGGGCTGTGCGATATGGACAAAAAAAAAACTATCGCGATTCCTTTGATCAATTTTGCGATTTCGATTTTAATCACGATTTTGACACACACAGACATGCCTTACAGTCAATAATGCATTCAGTGTGAATTTGAAACATATTTCCAAAAGAAAACCAATTACAGCTTTATCAAAAAGCTAACATGTCTCTAGAACAGACATAAGGCAAAATAATCACTAAGTAAAGGTGTAACAAAATGTCTCTAGAATAGACAGACATATGGCAGAAAAAAAAAAAAGTCCCGTGGCCAGGGATTTTTTTTTGCCATGCATTGGTCATAGAGCACTTTGTGGCATTGCCTCAGATGTTGAACTAGATTTGTTGCGCCAAGTTCACACGTACTCCGTCTGCAGTGCGTATACAGTATGTGTATGCGGTGCAGAAGCAGCACGGACTCATTTTGCTTTCGCACAGGACGCGTTTGCAGTCCGCTCCTGATCCGCGGCTGTTTACCACAAACACAACATTTATCCATTATTTTGATTTCAAATCCAAACGTTGTTTCTGAAAATGCTTTTTCAGCATTGTGATTCTCTTTTATCACAGTACAGTAATACAATCTTTCATAGACATATTCACGTTTAAACTCAATAATAACTACTACCACCACGAGTGCCATCTATTATTGCCTTATCTAAAAGTGCACTTTTCCTTGTTTTAAATCTAGCCAAAAAGCCATGTGTTGACAGTGAAACAGTAGACTTTAATTATATGCATTTATATATATTTCATTATATGCATTTATATATGCTATAATTATAAAGCATAAATTTCCGTGTCAATCCATGTTAATTTTTACCGCGAATAATGCGCTGTCACTTTAATTCAGCGCATGCAGCACAGCAGAAATAGACTCCGTGCAGAAACGATCGCAGCATCACTGCTGCAGACGCACTGCTCCTGGAGCACACTGCCGGAGCGCAATCGCGTGCAGTGTGAACGCTCTGATCCGTTAACATGGGCACGGAAAAAAATACGCACCACAGACGGAGTGTGTGAACCTGGCGTTACGTTTGTATTCCTGCCCGGTCTGTTCTGTTCTCGTGCTCCATTTAGGCGAGCTGCATTCTGATTGGTTCGGATAGCATACTGCGGGAGGTCGGGGGTGCGGAAAATCGTGCTATAAAGCAATTTAGAAATCGCTCCAGCTCAAATCGTGATTTTATGACGATTCCGATTAATCACACAGCCCTAGTTCATAATATTATTATTATTAGGCAATGATATTGCCTCATTGTCAGTGAGCTACGGCTCTGTGTAGTAAATGCCGCTCCATCTGAAAGCAGGTGATGGAGATT